CCCTCCCTCTCCCTCTCTCTCCCTCTCTTTCTTTCTTTCTTTCTTTCTTTCTTTCTTTCTTTCTTTCTTTCTTTCTTTCTTTCTTTCTTTCTTTCTTTCTTTCCACAATTTGTTCTCAGGATTAAGTGAAGGGTGAAGTCCCCTGGTTCTGATTCAGAGCTGGTGTTATGAAACCCCATTCGTTTGGGGGGGATGCCCACTGTACATTGAAACTGATCAGGTTATAAATCAGACTGATGGCTTACTCCCCCCATCTGCCCCCACTCGTGACCTTTCCCACTTCTTTGTACAAACTGAATGCAGGGACACAGAGAGCTTGTCCTTGCTTTGCTTTCTCTCTCTCTCCTTCCTCCCTCCCCCCTCCCTCCCTCCCTCCTTCAGTATGGCTTTATTGGCCATAACCTTAACCCTAACCACACTATTTTTTAAAATCTCCCCTTTCTCTTCTAAGTCCACCCTGATTACAAAAGTTTTTTTTAATTTTTATTTTATGCTGAATTACTAAAAGATAAGAGGCCAAGGACTTAGATCCTTATCCCATAGAAGAAAGGGAAAGCTTTGATCATTGCTCATGAACTCATCCTTCTTTAACATCGGGGTTATCCATCTTTGTCTCTCTTCACGGAATAAAGGACATTCAAGGACCAAGTGACCTGTCTTCCCCACGTTACAAAAACACCAGAAGAGACTGAAAAAGAGACTCCTGAAAATTGGAATTTTAATTCGGGGGGATGGTAGGAAGATTAATCTGGTGGTGGTGGTGGTGGTGGTAGTAGTAGTAGTAGTAGTAGTAATAATAATAATAATAATAATAATAACAATAATAATAATAATAATAAATACACTATCTGGGAATACTCAAAGAGGTTCTAATCCAATATAGGAAAGAGAACATGCCCTTCTTGCTCACAGATTTGTGCATATAATTGGCTTCAAGCTGTAGACACTACTGCGATAGGTTTGAGGTCCCTATGGGAAAGGAAATCGTTATCCCTGGTTGCCCGGGGCATGAGTCCTATTGCAACCTCAAAGCCAGGGTGTCATGGACCAGAGCACAGACTCCTCCTCACCAGTTAAAGAGGACATGGATGAGGCCGAGCACTTGGGCACACCCCAGAAGGAGGCAGCCGAGACACCTCCAGGAACTCACTTTTGTCAAACTAGGGGACCTTCAGGAGACTGAGGCAGATCTCTTGCAAACACACAGCCTATTCCTGGGCAGATTCAGACCCTGAAGCTCTCCCCCACCAGAGTCCACTGCAGCATCTCTCCCCAACTGACCCCTCAGGACACCCAAGGCTAAGAACCACCCCGATCCTATAGAGAACTTTCTGCCATAACCAGGAGCAGCACCTTAAAGAAACGGGTAGTCTGCTCCTGGACTTGTATCTCCATGCAGCTATGAGTGTGCATTCGGCATAAACCGAGCGGAAAAAATAACCAAAACATACCTTACTGGTATTTTTTGGGGGGAGCATTATTTAAGCCAAATACAGATCAGAGAATCTGATTGGCTACTGGTAGAGCTGGCCCGAATAAAAATGATTGTTCGGCTTTTATTTGAGTATATTCAGCTATACCCATTGGCTGGTGGGCTCCTCTTGCAGTTGAGTTTGAACCAGCCCAGGATCGCCTGGGGCAAAGGGAGCTGAGAGCTCTGTGCCACCTTGGCTGAGGTTGGCTCTCATCTCTGCCCACCCCAGCTGATCCTCTCTTGCCTCCTTTGCCACAGGTAGATCTCGGGGCCCGCTTCTCCCGCAGCACAGTTTAGACCGCGCTGCAGGAGAAACTAAGCCAGCCCCAGAGTCGAGTTGGCTTTTTAAAAATTGGAATTTTTCTTCTTGGGCCTATTGAAGGATTTTCAAAGAATCATGGATCCGAATACCATACCTGTTTTGGGATCCAGGACTTTTTAGAAATAACAAAAATTTTTTGGGGGTCCAATAGATCCAACCCCCCCAAAAAACACTGGGCTTTTTCTTTTCTTTTTTTTTGCACATCCCTACTCACAGCCTTAAGCTACTGTACTTCTGCCCAAACAACTACACTTCCAGCCTCACTGCTGGAACTTGGACTCTAGGACGGCAGGGAACCCTCCTTACCATGGTAAGTATGAGGTGGCAAATATAAACGGTGTCAGACAAGAACTGGAACTGAATCACCTTGGAGTTTGGGAAGGATATATTCTGAAACGGATTTAGGAAGGATAGGGTTTCATAAAATCTAGTATCAAGGTGCACCTTTATTATTATTATTATTATTATTATTATTATTATTATTATTATGGATGGGGAAAAAGGGTTTGAAGTGTATGAATAATGCCTTCTCGAGTCTCAGGAACTAAAGGTGACGTCTGGTTCCTAGAGGTTGGGCCCTGTACCACCACACAACTGAATAACCTTTTCATTCTGCCTTTTAGTTATCATCTTATCTCCCATTGGGAGGAAAAGAACTGGATCTGGGAAGCAAACTAATAAACCGTCTTCTTATTTCCCATACTTTTCAGGGACTGGAAAAATTTCAGGAGCTCAAAGTTATTAACCCAGTTTCAGGGAAACGTTTAACTTTTCTCTACAGATAGCTGCTCTATCATACTCCACACTGGGTGGAGTCCTTCATGTCTCCCTCATGACCTATCTGTTTAGGCGCTGTCGTAGGGTTGCCAACTCCGGGTTGGGTGATCCCTGGAGATTTGGGGGCAGATCCCGGGGAGAGTGGGGTTCGGGGAAGTCAGCAGAGATGCAATGCAATACAATCTGCTTGCTAAAGCAGGGAAACTGAACTCTGTCCTTGATCTCTAGGGAAACTGATCTCTGTCCTTGGGAGATAAGCTGCAATTCTGGGAGGACTGCAAGTCCCACCCGGGGGCTGGCACACCCTAGGCCTTGGACAGTTAATACAGAAAAAGATACACTTCTTTTAAACCTCCACAGAAACCGTCATCGTATGTTCTTTCTGCCTTTCTGTATATATCACTGTGATAAGTACCATCAATGAACCTCTGAGGCAATAAAACAATGACAAATGCTACTAAAAAATGTCACTGCTTTGTCTGCGTGAAGGAAAACTGGGCAACAGCGCAAACTCAAACTGAAAAGACTATAATCGAAACCACTCTTCTAGTGACAACCTCTTAGGCACAATCAGAGTAGCAGTTTATTGGGATGTGACGTTGCTGCTGTTATCAGCGTTAACAAGAACAACTTTCCTCCATCTGCAGTCTTCCCCCGGCCAAAACAGGCAGATGGAGCCTCAAGCTCTCTGGGCCTGCTTGCAAAACAAACTTCCTCAAGTCGAAAATCTGGCGGTATTACCCTTCTTCCTAACTGTATAGACCAGCTAGCCCGGGAAGCTTTTTTTCTTCACTTCACAGTGCGAGCTGCGATCAAATTATTCGGTCGGGTCCCGAATTCCCGGCCCCTTTCGAACCACATTGAGTAGGTTGCGGTTTTTACAAAAGGAAAGCAAAATCAGAGCTGAGAAACTCGCCAGCTGCCCGAGCGAGCAAGAACAAGGTAAGTAAGCAGAACTCTCACCTTTGCGCTGTAGGGGATGTAATGCTTTGATAAAGCCTCGGGAGTGTGCATCCACGTTTTATCTGCAAGAGGGGGGAAAAACACACAATTCAGCCTCATTTGTTCTCGTCTTACGATCCTCCGGCACAGGCATCCGTCCTTCTAATCAAGTCCTTGTAAGAACTCTTGCTTTAAAGGGGTTTCCTCTAACAAAGATGACAAAATATTACTCCATATATAGCAAACATGTTATGACATCTAATGTCATTTGGCATCTGAAATCACTCCACTTTCCAATAAACAGGACAGATGGACTCCCTTTCTAGCTGTATCTGAAGGAGTGAGCGCTGATTCATGAAAGCTCATACTGTGCCACATTTTTTTTTAGTCTTTAAGGTGCTCCTGGACTCTTGCTCTTTTCTACAGCTAGAATGCGAGTCCATCTAGCTTCATCTGAGTAAGTGAGCAGTGACTCACGAAAGCTCATCCCCTGCCACATATTTTTTTAGTGCTGCGGTGGCTCAAGTGGTTAAGACGTTGAACTGCAGGCTGTGGAAGGTCAGTAGTTCAGCAGTTCGAGACCCGAGTGTGCCGCATGACGGAGTGAGCTCCCGTCTCCAGTTCCAGCTCCTGCCAACCTAGCAGTTCGAAAGCAAGAAATTGCAAGTAGATAAATAGGTACCACTTTAGCGGGAAGGTAACAGCGTTCCGTGCGCCTTGGTGTTTAGTCATGCCGGCCACATGACCACAGAAACGTCTTCGGACAGCGCTGGCTCTTCGGCTTTGAAATGGAGATGAGCACCGTTACCGTAGAGTCGGACTCGACTGGCTTTCGAGCAAGGGAAACCTTTACCTTTAAGGTGCTCCTGGACTCTTGCTCTTCTCTACAGTTAGAATGCGAGTCCATCGAGCTTCATCTGAAGAAGTGAGCGGTGACTCACGAAAGCTCATCCCCTGCCACAGAATTTTTTAGTCTTTAAACTGCTCCCGGACTCTTGCTCTTTTCTAATGTTATGCCAGGGTCTCTCATATCTAGACAGGATTCTTTCAGCATTCAAAGAGCTTCACGTACACCATCTCAGAAATCCTTTAAACAAGAGCAGAAGCCCACACCAGGGAACTCACGCCGTGATGCCCGTGAAAAGACCGCAAATGGCCCGAGAGTATTCTGCAATATTATGGTTTTGCCGTTTACATTTGTATCTGTTGTTTAAGAATTTCAAAGTGCATGCTACCTTGAGTACAGAAAGGCAGCATAGCGATGAAGAAATCCTTTCAAACATAGCCACTAGGCTAGGTATCCCCAGCATGAGGGCTCTTTTTGTAGAAAAAGCCCAGCAGGAACTCATTAGCATAATAGGCCACACCCAACAGCAAAACCCATTAGCATATTAGGCCACACCCTGACAGCACTGCTCATTAGCACATTAGGCCACACCCCCATGTTACCAGAAGTGTGGTCATCCAGCCACACCCACCTTTTGCTTCTTATTCTGTTGACCTTGTTTGTTGTCAAAACCCAGGGCCTTTTTTTGTAGCAGGAACTCCTTTGCATGTTAGGCCACCCCCCCCCTAATGTAGCCAATCCTAATGAGTTTCTGCTGTTGGGTGTGGCCTATTATGCTAATGAGTTCCTGCTGGGCGTGGCCAACTCGGGTGCCAGCCGGAACTCCGTTCCTGTGCGTTCCTGCCCAAAAATAGCCCTGCCCAGCATAGTACCTGCTGATGCCATTCTGGGTGCCTGCCAAGTGTTTTCGGAAAGGGGGCGGTGCCAGATGAGGCTTTTGCCCAGCAAGGCTTCTGATTGGCCACTGGAGATCTGGTTGGCTGTGTGGAGTTTTAAAAACATTGCTTTGGCAGCAGCTGCCACCGCAGCACAAGGATCTTCACTGTATGACTGAAGACAAGATGTAGGCTCACAAAGGTTGGGGACCCTGGCTTCAGGCACTCCCATCCTCTTGTTCGGGAATAATAATACCGGTCTGCACACATGAACATGCGCACACAACTGGATCAGACCATTAGTCCACCCAAGGTCAGTACTGTCTACTCAGACTGGCTGTGGCTTCTTCACCCAAAGAGTGATTGACAGATGGGATTCACGGCCACAGGAGGTGGCGGCGGCTACAAGCATGGATGGTTTCAAGCGGGAATTGGATAAACTGTATGGAGCAGAGGCCCATCAGTGGCTATTAGCCACAAAATATAGATAGGAACTCTCGGTCTGGGGAAAGTAATGTTCTGTATTCATGGTGCTTGGGGGGGGGGGCAACAGTGGGAGGGCTTCTAGTGTCCTGGCCCCACTGGTGGACCTCCTGATGGCACCTGGTATTTTTGGCTGCTGTGTGACAGAGTGTTGGACTGGATGGGCCACTGGCCTGATCCAACATTGGCTTCTCTTATGTTCTTATGTTCCCAGGTTCCCAGGTAGAACCTTATAATTTGTTTCTTCCATTCTAGTTCCCGATGAATTCTGATTTTTGGCACTTACAGTCGGAAGTTGTTAGGTCATCCATCCTATCATACCTATTAACTAGATGCAGTCAACGGTTTCATGTTTGTTTATGCTTCTGTTTATGCTGAAGTGATCCCCTTCCTAATATATTAAATGTCATTTATACAATATTAATACTGTAAATTTAAGCTATCCTTATGTACTTTTACAGCTCTTACTTGATGTTTTGTAATTCTGCTCAGTATATCTCAATAACGTTTATTTTGAAAAGGGGGGGGAGGTAGAGGCCTTTCACATCACCTGCTGCCTGGTCCTTTTAACTGGAGATGCCAGGGATTGAACCTGGGACCTTCTCCATGCCAAGCAGGTGCTCTGCTACTGAGCTACAGCCCCCACCGCATGGCTCTCCAAGGTCTCAGGTGGAGGTCTTTCCCATCACCTGCTGCCTGGTCCTTTTAACTGGAGATGCCGGGGATTGAACCTGGGACCTTCTGCGTGCCAAACAGAGGCTCTTCTATTGAGCCATGGCCCTTCCCCTCACTCTGTTGTCTGAGAATACCTTAGAGTAGGCAGCATATCAATGAATACAAAAAAATACAAGTTTGTAAGACCAGCACTATTTTCTCCCTATGATGAGCGGGAAGGAAGGCGGCCTCTAGACTCCAAGAACTGTGAGAGTTCAAGAAATATGCGCTCTATAGCATCCACGGACTGTGGTCACTGAACTGAGGTGCTGTTCTGTATGTGGTCTCTCACAAAAAGTGTGCACCACAAGGCCTCAGTAACAGAACAACAACTTTCTTCAGCCATTATGAACATAATCTTACACAGAGATAATCCCTATGGTCTACCAACAAACTGCACTTTTGTAAATAATAATATACGGTGCATATTATAGGCACAGCAGAAGAAGCAGAAGCAGAAGCAGAAGCAGACGAAGAAGAAGAGGAGGAGGAGGAGACGGAGGAGGAGGAGATTGGATTTATACCCCACCCTTCACTACCCAAAGGTGTCTCAGAGCAGTTTACAAACTCCTTTCCCTTCCCCTCCCCACAACAGACACCCTGTGAGGTAGGTGGGGCTGAGAGAGCTCTTGATAGAAACTGCTCTTTTCCAAGAACAGCTGTGCCAGAATTATGGCTTGCCCAAGGTCATCCAGCCAGGTGCAAGTGGAGGAGTGGGGAATCAAACCCGGTTCTCCCAGATTAGAGTCCGCGCACTTAACCACTACACCAAACTGGCTCATAGTAGACCAGAATTAGTCAGCTCACCCACAATGCAGTACTCTTACCTAGTAGAAATAATAGTTTATTATGGTTAACAACAACAATAAAGGAACATTCAGGTGGGTAGCCATGTTGGTCTGAAGCAACAGAACAAAGTTTGAGTCCAATGGCACCTTAATTCTGCGTATAAGCTTTCATGCAAACACAAAAGCTTATACCCGGAATTAAACTTTGTCTTAAAGTTAACACTGGACTCAAACACTGTTCCAATATAACTCTATTGAAAATACAGCCCACTGTTAATCTTTTTACTGAGGAACTATTGATTTCTCTGCTCCAAATGTCAAGTTTTTCGGCAAACTTGGGTCTTCCTTCAGGCTCACAGAAACATCCCCACCCCCCAAAAAAAATCTGTCCCTAGCTCCCAAAATACTAGAACTTGAGGACATCCAATGAAGCCAGTAAGTTCAGGACAAACAAAAGGAAATACTACTTGACACAGAGAGTGATTAAAATGTGGAATTTGCTGCCAGAGGATGTTGTGATGGCCACAGGAATAAACAGTTCTCAAAGGGGACAAGATACATTCATGGAGGGGAAGGCTATCAGTGGCTACTAGCCATGGTGACTGAGGGGAACCTCCACATTCAGAGGCACCAATCCTCTGAATCCCAGAGCCAGGAGGCAACATCAGGGGAAGGCCTCGGCCTCTATGCTCTGTTGTTGGCCCTCCAGAGGAACTGGCTGTCCACTGTGTGAGACCGAATGCTGGACTAGGTAGACCACTGATCTGATGCAGCAGGGCTCTTCTTATGTTTTTAGGAAGGCCTCAGCCTCCATGCCCTGTTCTTGGCCCTCCAAAGGACTGGTTGACCACTGTGTGAGACAGGATGCTGGACTAGAAGGACCACTGATATAGCAGGGCTCTTCTTATGTTCTTAGGAAGGCCTCGGCCTCTCTGCCCTGTTCTTGGCCCTCCAGAGGACTGGTTGGCCACTGTGTATGACAGGATGCCAGACTAGATGAACTATTGGTCTGATGCAGCAGGGTTCTTCTTATGTTTTTAGGAAGGCCTCGGCCTCTATGCCCTGTTGTTGGCCCTCCAGAGGAACTGGCTGGCCACTGTGTGTGGCAGGATGTTGGACTACATGGCCTATTGGTCTGATCCACCAGTGTTCTTCTTACGTTCTTATCAGGAAAAGTTCTGGGACTTTATGCCCTGATGCTGGCCATCTAGAGGAACTGGTTGGACTGTGTGAGACAGGTTGCTGGAGTAGATGGACCACTGGTCTGATGCAGCAGGGCTCTTCTTATGTTCTTAATGTAATTTAGTTTCAAAGCAACAGGAAGAGGCTGCTCTGAAATTCAAGACCGTGGGGGTGGGGGGAGAGATACTACATTA